TCTAAAGTGAGAGCTGTGGAGCTAAAGATAAACTCTCATTTTCTGCAGCTCTTCTTGTCTGGCAGTGTCTCAATTATTCAGCCACAAGAAAAAAAAATCAAATTTCAGTTCAGGAACTTCACGGTCCGACTTTCTGGCGCCACTCAACACAGACCCCACAGCAGGTGGGACCAGAAACACAGCCCTTCTCCTTCTTCCCTTCACATATGAATTGGAAATAGTAGAAATACCAAGCATTCGCTTCTAATGAAGGATTTGGGGGATGTGGGATGGATGCTGCACCTCAGCCTGTCCCAAGGAGGGAGCTGTGGTGGTGGAAGGGGACATCGAAGTGGTCAATGACAGTGAAGTTCAGAGACACACGAGTCCTCCAGCCACCAAGGTTTGAACTTGCTGATGCTGCAGCATCAGCTACATCCCAGAACCATCAATCTCTAAGGAAACAGAGCTCATGGGTGAAGGAAAGAAACATCTCCAGTGTTCCTATCAACAGACAGGCTACAGAGCACAACCACAACAGGAGACAGCAGAGAACCCACATAAAGAGCACCATCATGAATGTCCTGGTCACTGGGAACCTCTCAAGAGGAGCACACAACTATCAGACCACAGACAACCCAACCATGAGACAGGCATCTGCCAGAACAGCTTCCTTAGTGCCACTGCTCCCAAATTCCTATTAATTGGTTAAACCAGATGATTCTGCAGCCAACACTCCCCATGCCCCGATGCACCGGGAGCAGCTGGAGCCACTGGAAAGCCAAAACCACATTCCCAACCTCCCAACCTGGCTTCTCAGCCAGCCCCAGGCACAGGCTGCACTTCCACAAACCCTGAGAATTCAGCTTGGAAAAACAAAACCCCTGAGATGGGGGCACCCAGAGTTCCCTTGGGCTCCCCCTCTCTTTCCCTCAGGCACCATTCCACCCTCCAGCAGGGATGAGGACAGACAGTGTTGGGTGCTGGAGACGCTGGAGAAACCTAGAAGGTCCTACCAGTCTCTCCTTAAAAGCCCTAAAAATACAGGGCACCCAGGAAATTTGCAGAGGTGAAGCTCCCCAGAAGCACCTCAGCCTCCCCCCGAGGTTATCCTGCTGCTCCACAAGAGTGCAGTTAAGTTTATTAGTCCAAGCTCCAGGAATTAAGCTCCAGCCAAGAGGACTGATAGCTTATTTACTGCTGTCGTCTATATAAAGCAGAATTTTGACACATTGTTAAATGATGCACATTTAGATAAGTCAAGCTGTCATATCATTTAATGGATGTCTAAACTCCCTCTGTAGCTGATATGTAAAATTTATGCACTTCAGAATATCATAAGGTTATAATATTTTAATCACATCCACAGTTGTGTATTTTTTTTTTTGCCTCCCCTAAACTTTAAACAGCAAAAACATTTCATCAACCAGACCACGCTCCGCAGGCTCCCGGCTCAACACCATCCGGCAGAGCCGCCGCCGCTGAAGTTTGTGCCCAACTCCAGCACAGGGAGAACATTTGCATTCCCGGGAAATAAAACGAAGAACATTTTATTTGACAAACCAAAGGCTGGAGCCGTGTAGCCAGAGCTCATCTACATAATGAGATGTGAAGACATTTATAAAAGATGGCTCTAATCGCTCTCACTCACCGTTGTATTTATTATCCCAAACCAGCAGCTCGCAGCTCTTCCCATTTTTTTTTGCTGTTTTACCACGGAACGGGTTGGATTCAAGCAGCACACGGAGCACGGAATCCATACGGCGCTACCCGGAACGCAATAAACCCCCAGCAAATTAAAACCCAAAAAACCCATGAAGGTATGAATCCCACTCTGACTATTACACACAAGAAAGCTGTAAAAAAATACTGCATTAGTAATGTACACAATAAACCAATCTCATAACCCGGTGAAATACGTCTGGTATTATCTTTGATGGAATTTTATCTCTTCTCATTTCCGCGACTCTCCGCCGTAAAAGGGCTCAGCGCCGTTTCGATCCGAGCGCTGCCGAGTAGCACATTATCCCTGTGTTTTCCATATGCCCACCATTCATCAGGGCGGCTCAAACTCTGCCATTCCCGGCCAGCCCCAGGCCACCGGAGCTGCTCAGACACATCCATTAAAAAGGAATGGGGAAAAAAAAAATAAAGGAAAAAGCTCTTGCAAGAATATAAATGGATTGTTTCCCTTCCTTTATTTTTTTTCTTCTTGTTTTCCATTCTTTTTTTAATTTTATTTTTTTATGGAGGGCATTAGGCCAAGCTGGCACAAGGTCACCTTTCCCACCGTGATCCCGGCGAGGCGGCAGAACTGCTGCCTGGACAGGAGTCAGTCCTCACTGCTCCCTCTCCGGCTCCGCACCCATCCACAGCCCCCGGCAGGCTGGGGAAGGAGAGCTGCCACCTCCCAGCCCACCTCTCCCTCCGGCAAAGTTCAACCCTGAGAGACCCACGGCAAAGTAGCTGCCAATATTTATCTTTAAATAAAGGTCTGCGCGCACCCAGGAAAAGTCATTAGCGCGATTTAGCGGGGAACGCTTTTGTATCCGAAGCGCTTAGAGCCGTAATCCCTTCCCTTCCACAAAGCCAGAGCGGAGCAGTCATGGCAAACCCACCGGCCGTGCTACCTGCGGTACTTTTCGGGTCGCGCAGCGCAGACGCAGCACATAATCTGCTTAAAAGCCAAAATGTATTAAATGTTGGAACTGTTGATCCAGTACCGGAGCCCCATAAATCGCATTGCAATTTGTTTACTCCCCTCCGAAGCATGCTGCATTTTAAACTCCGGAACATCCTACAGGGATAAACCCGTTTAATATCCATGGAAATGAGCGTTTCGGCTGTTGTAGCGGCGGCAGGTTGGGTTTCATCCCATTATGTTGGGAGAGCCATTGTGTTAATTATCCGCCTCCCGTTTAAGGTGCGCATTTAAGGTCACAAACTGTCAGCAGCCCCCGGCCAACCTTCCCCCGCACACGGTAACAAAGGACTTACCGGGAATTTCACAGACCGAGGGTACCACGGTGGGATACGGCGGCCGTGACCTGCCCGGAGCCACAAAGGAGCTGCCGCCCCCCCGCCGCATCCATCCCCGGCCCGAGCAGCACCGCCTGGCACCGACCGCCTTCCCGGCGCTCAGGGCTGGCCGAGCCCCCGCACCGGCCCCGCACACCGGCCCTGGATAACAATGGGAGGGCGGCGGGGCTCCGGGCAGCCCCGCTCCGCCATCCCCGCATCCATCACCGCACCCGCGAGGCTCTGCCCGCCCCGCGCGCACGGGGGAACGCGGGCACCGGGCTGCGGGGGGCACCGGGGACACTTGGCAGCCCGCGGGCACCTGCGGCTCCGCTCCGCGGGCGGGGACCGCCACAAACTTGGCGGGGCGGCGCGGGGGACCGCGCTCCCCGCAACTTCATCCCGCGCAACTTCCCTCCCTCCCTCCTCTTCCTCCCTCCCTCCCGCCGGGGCGGAGCGGCGGCCGCCCCCCGGCCCCGCTGTCACCTCGGGGGCGGCGGGGCGGGGGCCGGGGCTCCATCGCGGCTCCATCGCCGCTAGCGCTGCTCCATGTTCCCGGGCGGCGCCGAACAAAGAGCGGCGGCGGCGGCGGCGGGGGATCAATTTCTGATACCTATCGATGGGGAAGGGTGGGCGGAGGGAGGGGGGCGGGCGCGGGGGGGGGGGGGGGGGGGGGGGGGGGGGGGGGGGGCCGCCCGGATCACCCCCCCCTCCCCTCCATCCTCCCGCTCCCTCCCGCCCGCCGCCAGCCCCGCGCCCGCCGCCGCCACCGACCTGGAGCCGGCGGACATCAAACCGTGTCCGGTATCGACACATCGATCCCACCTCGGCGGCCATCTTGGGGGAGCCCGGTGGCGCGGAGGGGGCGCGGAGCCGCGCGGACCGGAGGGGGGGAGTCTGCCCGCCTGCCCGCCCGCCCCCACCGGGGACGGCCCCGCGCTGGGAAGGGAGGGGGAACCCCCCCGGTCCACCCCCCTTCCCCTTGGGACCACCCCTTTCCCCCCCCCGATCCATCCCTCTCCCCACCGGGACCACCCCCGAGCATCGCTCCCCGTCAGTCCAGGACCACCCCCCCCCACTTCCGTGGGTCTCCGTACGGGGAAGGGTCGCGGTGGGTTTTTTTCCCAGCCCGATGGAGGTTTTTAGCTGGAAAATCGCCAGCCGGAAGCCGCCGGTTAAACTTTTCCAGGGTTTTTTTGGTTTGGTTTTTTTTTTCTTCCCCGAACCTGACCCATCCAGCACCTTTGACCTGCCGGGAATGGCTACAGCAAACACGCTCTGAGCGCTCCGCAGCCAGAAAACGCCCCGGGTTCAGAAACACGCCGAGTTCAGGCTGTTTTAGGGCTGCATTTTTAAATTTCTCAGTGCGGTGGGCTCTCAGGAATCCAACCAACTTCAGCAGAGGAACAGAGCCCATCCAGCAGCACCTGTACCTGGAATTCCCACTCTGCTTCCCCACCACAGGAAAAGAACTTTACAGTTTCAGCCCCAAGTTGTCCCATAGCCTGTTGTACTGATCGCCCCGACACCCTAAAGGGCTTGGACAATCAATTCCCACTCCCCTGGGAAGCGGTAACCCCTCAGCAGAGCCGAGTTTGCACTGGAGGGACCCCGACCCCGCTGGCTGTGACTCGTTTTTGAGCAGAAAAGGACGGAGCTGCCCCTCGGGTCCTTTTTGCAGGCAGGTATTTGCAGACCAAGCAAGTGCAGCGGTTTAATATTCCTGCCAAGGAGCAGGTAACACCCCGGGCTGCTGTACAGACACGTGCACGTCTCTGCTCCTGGAGGAGCCCAGGGGCTCCTCCCAGGCTGGGACACAAATCCACATGCCAGCTCCCCTCCCCGAGACAAGCTCATTCCCCACCACCACCCCACGGAGGGGGATGTAATCCTGAAGTGTTCCCAGGGGTTCACAAGCTGCTTTGCCTCCAAAACTGCAGGGAGGATGAGGGCAGCGAGCAGCAGCCACCTTGTTCACCACTGTCCTGCTCCCCCTGTCTTACCTGTCACCTTTTGATCCCTGTACTCCAAAGGGCTGGAGGGAGCATGGACACCAGCAAACCCAGAGTGCTCCTGCAGTGGTCACTCACAGTCCTTCGCTGTTCCCAAAGCTCTCAGCTCCTTTTGGTGCAGCAGATCCTGCAGTGCTGAAGCCTCTCTCTGCATGTAGCTGGGGAAGAAACAGTCCCTCACTGCCCAGATAAAATCCTGTTGCTATTCCCTGCATTTTGCAGGACTCTTGGGATTCCACTAAAAAGCACCATTTGAGTTCAGAAGACATCAAAGAAAAGGAACACCCTTCAAACTGCTCCCTGCTCTGCAGGTGCTTCCAATTGTCACAGGGACAGGTCTGCTCCTGGGCCAGGAAAACTGTCCAAAAGGGTAAGGCAGACACCCAAAGTGACCTTGGCCCACTCTGTAGCACAAACAGCCAAGAAACGATCTTGTTCTTCTCATCTCTTCCACTCAGAGAAACTCAGGAGTCGCTCACGATCCCACAATTGCAAAACGCCTCAGGCAGAAGAACAAGTGAACAGAAAATCAGAGTTCAAAGAAAGGATTTGCAGGAGCAGAGGCAGTTTGTGTCAGAGAGAGCCTGGATGTTCCTGCAAGCCCTGTCAGCCTGTTCTTCACCTCCAGAGCTGGCTGCAGAAGGGGTTCCCATGGCAGATCCTTCTCATGGTCCCACAACAAAAACATCCCCCTAGAACTGGGGGACCCCAGATGAAAATGCTGAGCTGAAATTTCAACCCTGTTGGCATAAACAACAATTTTCATGGGGCTCTGAGACCCCAACCACGTGTGCTGCCCCTCCTTGGGGGCACCCGAGTCAAGCCTCCTTACTTTGCTCAGGGAACCCAGGCGCTATAAATAGATTTTCTTACCCCCACAACCACAATCAGGGAGTAGAAACCACTGGGAGTCGTTGAGGTTTGTAATGAGATCGGGGCTGCTGGTGGTACCAGGCAGCTGCTTCACCTCTGGCTTAATGAGGCTGTAATTAGCCAGGGGTGGGAGCACAGGCTGTGCAAGGGGAGATCCCACGTGGGAATTCATTTCCATCCCTCCCTCAGGGCCAGGGGGAGGTTTGCTTATAGATGAATCAGTAAACCAGGTGGGATGGGTGGTCTTTGCTGGGAGTGAGCTGGTTTCTGCTCTTTGATGCAAAGGTGTCCTCTCTGTGCCAGCAACAAGGATTGCCCAGTCTGTCCATGACCACGATGCTCCAGGAATCTGCTGTTGGATCCTATCAGGACAGGTCCCAGGCAGGGGGACTTTCTCCTGCGCCCACAAAGCTGATCTCACACCCATAAATCACCTCCCTGCTCTGCCCAGGGAACAGAGGAGCCTGCTCATAAATCAGGAATAAAACTAACTTGGCATCTTTGGTGAGCAAATTAAATTGTGGGCTTTGGAGGAATGTTTCTGTTTGGCCGAATCATTAATAAATCAATGGGAGCCATAAGGAAGAGGAGAGGGACTGTGCCCTGTGCCACACAGAGAGCTGTGGGGTGGCACGAACCATCCCCATCCCTGTGTCCCCTCAGGCAGTGCACAGGGGCCCTGGAGCACCCCGGGGATAGCAGGGGGACCTCGATCCTACACTCCCCCCCCATGTAGGGCTCACCCACCCCAGGGGACGCTGCGAGGCGCAGGTTAATAAATCAGTTTGTTTCCAGCCCGGTTTGCTTTGTGCGCCTGACAATAGACCATTGTAAATGGCAGCCCCTTGCCTCCTCTACTGAAAGGCTTTTAATTAAAATATGGAAGGGGCTTTTCTGTGTACTTAAAAAAAAAAAAAAAAAAGGAGATTTCAGCACACTCCCATTCCAATTCTAGGCGTTAATTTATTCCTGCCTTCCCGGCGTTTGTGATCCACGTCTTTGTGCAGTGGTCCAGCCCCATTAGGCGGTCGAGGGGCGATGCTGGGAGCAAGAGTCATGTGCCAGTAGGGCTGGAGAGCCAGTGGTGGTGAGAAGCCAGTGGTGATGGTGAAACAGTCGTGGTGGTGAACCAGTGGTAGTGGTGAGCCAGAAATGATGGTGAGCCATCAGTGACGTGAGCTCACTCAGTCACCTTGTCCCAAGGTTGGGCAGAGGGACACCAGGAATCCCACTGTGGGACAGTGGTGCCATCAGGGCAAGTGGGAATGCGTCAGGCCCTGGAACTACCCAGGAGCTCAGGTCCAGCTTCAGCCCTGGGCACAGAGAAGAAAGACCCTCATGGGGATGCAGACAGTTGCTCCCAGAACTCTGTCCCCATCCCGTGCCGGGGAAGGCAGTGAAGCCTCTGCCAGCTGTCACTGAGCAGGTTTGGTCCTGGGGTTCCAGAAACCCTGGCAGGGGTCCTGCTGCCTCCCCCATGCCACCACTGTTTTGGGGGTCGGGTTTTTGCCTTCTCCAACGGGAAAGGCTGGGACCGTGCCGAGGCACTGCTTTGCCCTCCAGCAGTGAGGTAGGAGCCACCCCAGTGTCTCCCACATCCTCACAAATGATTTAGAGTGTTCGATAGTCGTGGATGCCTCATCCCTGGAAGTGTTCAAGGACAGGTTGGACGGGCGCTTGGAGCAACCTGGTCTAGTGGAAGGTGTCCCTGCCCATGGCAAGGGGGTTGGAACGGGGTGGGGGCTTTAACAACCCAAAGCATTCCGTGATAGCACAGAAGCCCATCACCACAGGTGATGGAGCTTCATGACCATCTCCTCTCTCCTTCCAGCCCCTCTCCCCCAGCCCTTTGCCCCCATCCATCCCTCTCCCCCATCCCTTT